ACGCACTTCTGGCCCCTTAAAAGTGCGACGGCTCTGGAGTAGCACTGCCAAGGGAATCTTCGCGCCGCGCCTTCTCCACCACCTCCAGACCGCCAAACGATAGCGCGTAGCAGAGTACGCCCAAGACGACGGAAAGAATTATCCAAGTTTTCACCTGCATGACTTCTGAGAACAAGAAGCAAGAAAAATGAAGGCAAAGAGGGGAAAGGAAAAACCTTCGCTCTAGTGTAGAACCTGATAAAAAGAAGGAGAAGAGTAGCGAATAATAATAATAATAACAAAAACTTGCAGGGCCCTTTGTCGGGTGCGGGGCGCGCCTTTCCGGAAACGGCGAGAAAACGCGCGCGCGCCCCAGGAGGCCCCGGCGGGAATTCCGTGCGGCCCCCTACCGAAGCGCTCGGCGGGCGACGCCAACGCAAAGAGGAAACAAAGAAAACACACACGCAACTATAAACACTAATGTTTGCCAACTAATTTTGCACAGTTTCCATTATTTGACAGGCATCCTCCAGTACGTGCACGCTCTCAACTGAAATCGCAAGCTGACGGGCAAGATTGACAAGTGAGACCTTCTCCCCACGACTGAGGCCGGTTACTGTGTCTTCAGGAAGCATAACAATCCTGAGTGCTGTGGCAATGCCCATAGTTTGAAGTTTTCCCCACACACGGCATTTCTCACAGGTTACACAGTCCATCAAGGTTGTGATGTTATACATCATTCGCTTCATTTGTGGAACAAGTCGATGCGCCTCTGCTGAGCCCAAAAACTTTGCCTCGTTAAATGTTGGGGAACACAATAAGTGATTATTGAAAAGTTCCCGAAGTTCTGCGTGGAGAAGGACGTCTTCCGTTGTAGGCACACCATCGCTCCCAGAGTTAAACACGTTGAGGTCGGAGAGAAACTCAGACCTCGTTTTTGTGAGTGCACGAAGAATAAATTGATAGAGTATATAGAGGTTGTTAATAAATTCCTTGTTGCTGACGATCCGCCTATACATCCCACAGTTGGGAAAGTAGGACACATTAGGATCTCTCAACACTCCCAACTCCTTTAGCGGGGAAATCCCGGCGTCGTCCTTGCGAAAAAATGTGGCCACATGCATTGTAATAGAAGTATGTAATCCACTGATCAGCTTTTTAAAAACCAGTTCTTCCTTGCATTGCTTTTCAGTATTCAACACACCCTCCTTGGATACCTCTGTCATGCAGTTTTCATTATAAATAGCCTGCCACACTCGAGACGCCATGGGTCCTGAATATCCTGTATTTCCCTCAGGATTTTGAAAAATGTCTACGTACGACGCCGCAACCTCTGCATCCCTCCAAGTGCCCCACTGATCAACGTTAAATGGATTTGGCTTTTCATACGAAACACGAGAATCAATGAGTTTAGGATCACTCATATCATACGAATATTTGAGAGCTTCAGGGACATCATTTGCATCACAAGAGCAGACCTGACAGGTATTTTCCTCGCTCATACAGAGTAGTTGAACTGCCCAATAAGGACAAGGCTTCTCCAAATTCACTTTGAAAAAACGGAAAAATGGTCGGCTTGTTATGTTATTTAGAAGTTGAGCAATATGCTTGGTGCCTTTGCTGATTTCATCTAGGGTGCAACAACAGAAGCTTTCCTCCAGAGGGTGGTCCTCGTGATCCTCAGGGTCAGCCGGCTTTGAATCACACTTACCCACGCACTTCTGGCCCTTAAAGTGCGACGGCTCTGGAGTAGCACTGCCAAGGGAATCTTCGCGCCGCGCCTTCTCCACCACCTCCAGACCGCCAAACGATAGCGCGTAGCAGAGTACGCCCAAGACGACGGAAAGAATTATCCAAGTTTTCACCTGCATGACTTCTGAGAACAAGAAGCAAGAAAAATGAAGGCAAAGAGGGGAAAGGAAAAACCTTCGCTCTAGTGTAGAACCTGATAAAAAGAAGGAGAAGAGTAGCGAATAATAATAATAATAACAAAAACTTGCAGGGCCCTTTGTCGGGTGCGGGGCGCGCCTTTCCGGAAACGGCGAGAAAACGCGCGCGCGCCCCAGGAGGCCCCGGCGGGAATTCCGTGCGGCCCCCTACCGAAGCGCTCGGCGGGCGACGCCAACGCAAAGAGGAAACAAAG